TGTTGCTCCAAATACCCTGGATATTGTTTGTGCTTAAAATGTGCCTCACTTAGCACACTTTGTGAGAAATTTAGAATTTGCTTGAACATTAAATATGATTTATAGCAATACTTGTTATTTTATGTGTTTATTTGTAGGTGCTCTGTTGATGGTTGTATTTCTTACAAGTTTTCTCCAGTTAAAGGGTACTGATTTCTATTTGTCTATTCCTTAGTCACGTTTATTACAGAGTCTTCGAGCTGCCATGACTATCAAGAGATAAGAATGCAGGAACATGTGCAAAAGCTTGGGATTGGATATGTAAGTGATTTTCTCCCTCCATTCCTATCTGTTCTACATGTACCTTCTCTCTCTCGTTCTTTTCCCTCATTATTTCTACTCTTTGTCTTTGTGTACATGTATAGATTCCAAGGTCTGTCTGGGTTGTATTAGAGAGGTATCTTGTGGATTCTTGTAAAGCTGGAGATGATGTTATTGTTCCTGGTATTGTCAGACAGCAGTGGAAATCTCTCAAGTGAGAGTGACTTTAATTTCAAATGAATTTGCAACACACTTTATACTATCTTACCTGTAGCTCTGGTAGTACGTGTTTGTTGGAAGTGGTTATACATGCAAATCACATTGTACTCAAGACAACTAGTCAAAAGAAGAATGACATCACTGATGAAATGGTATTGTTTTCATTCTTATATTTTATTGTATCATGAATTAATTTTTTTAATGTTTAGAAGTCGTTTTGATACCTTTTGGTGTAGTTATAAGGACAATCCATTGGAAGGTCGTAATGTAATTATTGCTAGTTTCTGTCCTCAAGTATTTGGACTATATGTAGTTAAGCTTTGTATATGCTTAGCTCTTGTTGGAGAGGTCCAGGTTAATTTAATATTCATGCATGTACCTTAGTTTTTGCTATTTGCATTTTCCTAGCCATAATTTGATTATTCTGCTCATTTTGAATATTGTATAATTAGTAAATTACTGTGATATTTACGTGTATAATACCAATACATACGTGTGTCATAAAGCCTTAACTGTTGAGTGCATATAAACTTCTGTTAAGTACTGTTACTGTCTGTATTTTCATGAAATCTTTATTATAATGTAGGATTTATTTTACATGTAGTAATTGTAAATTGTGAAGTAATGTATAAATTCATTTATTGTAGTATGTTGATGAGTCTGGCACTCGTGTTAGAGGTGACTGTCACTTACTACTAGTGGGAGATCCAGGTATAATATACTGTGAATTGTACTGTATATGTACATGTACATGTAATCTGATTATCATTGATGTATAATATACATTATGATGCATTCCATGCTACATGTATTTGTTGTAATATAATGTGTGATTATTATTGTTATAGAATGTATGTGTCAGTACATGTAATATTATTATTAAACCATGTTAATGATATTCATGAAGTGTGTTTACATTATTGGTAAGTGTTTTATAATCACCATAGTAACTGGAATGTAATTAAGCTCTGTGTATATAAGCTCTTTCTATTGCTATTACTTATTTATTATTGTACTATTCTCCTGTTCTCTTTCTCCTTCTTTCTAATTGAGTTGTTGACCATTGTATCATTTATAATAAGAACTCATAATACTACATTTGTGTATAGTAAAGCACCTAACAAAATACTGTATGAGTGGTTTGTTTCAAGCTGTGCAATTTTTGTGGATTATGCTGCGTAGAAAGTTTAAACTGATTCCAACATAAATTTTTGAGTTATGAGCATTTTTAAAAATTGGCCAAATTTTGAAAAATATCTAAGGCTATAGCCTATGGTTTTTTTTGTAAAAATGGCTCTGAAATCACCCCCAGTTTTTATTACTTTTTCTGATACATATTAATGTCCTTTTATTGTGTGTTTGAGCTGATTTCACTATAAATTTTTGAGTTATGTGCATTTTTAAAGCCCAATTTTTGAAATGCCCATGGTTACTTTTGCAAAAATTACCTTCAAAATTGCGCCCAATTTTTGTTACATTTTCTATTGCATATTGATGTCCCTATGAAAGATTCCTGATACAATTTCTTCAATTGTTGCCATCTTGTTTCTTATTTCAGTAGTCATTCTTCCTTACACTTACTGAACTGTGTTTTGTCTTGTTTCATTAGGCACTGGAAAATCTCAGTTTCTCAAGTTTGCTTCAAATCTCAGTCCTCGTTCTGTATTAACTACTGGAGTGGGTACTACTAGTGCTGGACTCACTGTTGCTGCTGTTAAGGTAATAATTAATAATTTCTTTGTACGTCTTTAACCAACTTTTGTGAGAATTCTTAAGTATCTGGCTTTGATTACAATCAGCTCAAACTTGTTATAAAACATAATACATGTATAATTAGAAATTGTACAATATTCAAGAATTCTGGACCGCCCTAGCTTTTTAAAAGATTTTTAAAAATTTTCTCCAAGAAGACAAAAACAATATCCTTTCCTCTGACGAGCGAAATATTTATGCATAGCCTTTTGGCTCTAAATTTTTTGTGATGGTTTATGAATTGTTTTACAAAAATTTTGTACCAATTTCCAACAAATTCACAAATTTAAAATAATGCGTGTGTATGTTTGATATCAGACTCCAAATTCCTACACACTATGAACTGCATGTATATGT